CCTACACCGCCCCAGAGGCTGACTTTGAGGACAACAAGAGCGTCAGTGATTTGGCCGCTTCGCTGAAGAAGAACCTGCGCGTGGTCTTCATCCGTGCCCCCGAGAACAAGGGCCTGGAGAACGCCGCCCTGCAGCTGGCCAAGCAGGCCGCCGAGCAGCAGACCGCCATCTATGTGCTGACCAAGCAGGGTGACCTTTCCAGCCTGGCCAACCAGCTGCAGAACCTCAACCATGTCAGTGCCAGCAAGCCCGAGGTGCACTTTGTCAAGTACCGCACGCCGGAGGATGCTCTGAATGCCCAGCGCACCATCCAGCAGGAGTACGAGCGCCTCGGTGGCTCCTCTGCGTCTCACAATGGAGGCGTTGCCCCAGTGCTGGACTTTACCTCCAAGCGCCAGCAGCAGTTCCAGCAACAGCAACAACAGCAGCAGCAGCAAGTGCAGTTGTTGGATGAGCGTCGTGCCTCCAATATCAATGTCGCCTCGTCTGGCAGTGTGTCGAACATTGGCGCTGAGCTGGAGGCTCCCTCCGCATCCTACATACCACCCGCGGCGGCCGCTCCTCAGGCCACTTACTTGCCTGTGAACAAGGTCAAATAGTTGCCCGAAGTCTCTAGCCTTATTAACAAATTAGCCAAATTGTGGAGTACCCTCCCAGCCCCTCTCCCTTCGTTATTAAATAGAACTTTAATTTTAATGTGTGCGCTTGTTCTTATCCTTGTTGCGGCTCTTGTTGCTGTTCGCGTTGAGATTAATGGGGCACGCCATTTCGACGTCTTGTAGTCGCGCTATCGACGAGCCACTTACTCAGACTTTCTGCCCCGACTCCGAGTCCGCCCTCAGCTTGCGATTAAAACTAAAAGCGCATTGGCATTGGACGCGTTTAAAAGTTGCCGTAAATTTAAGTGACCGGTCGGTCGGTCCCTTATCCGAGTGGCCCAGTGTCGGCGTCTGAGCTGCTGGCCTTGTCTAATTCTTTGTCCCCTCGAACCATCGAACCCTCGAGCCCTGGAGCCCTGCACTATTATTGCCGCGGCTTATGGCACGTCAACGTTGGCCACCGTTGACCCGCCTTAAAGGATTACAGCCACACACGCGATCAGGGCCAGCAAAGCAGCTAATTACCGCCGCAGCCACACGGCCAGCCAATTTCTGGCGCTGCAAATACACGACCAGAGTCGCGACATTTAATGGCCGCCCTTTTGAGGGTCAAGTCAGTGGCAATTTGGGCAGGTCTGGGGATAGAGGAAGCAGCGAAGAATGAAGGAAACGCACACTGGAAATTAAATGAAAATTACCAGCTGCATTTAGGGGCGCTCCGGCTCGGGCTCTGCCTTTGTTTGTGCTTGGGAATTTCTTCCTCGAGCAGTGGATGCCTGAGAACTATTTGGCGAAAGTGCCGAAGTCCTTCGCTGGAACAGTTGCTGTTTAGGTACTTGCCCAGACATCTCTCAAAATAATTTAGAAATTTACTTTTAATGGGAATTTCATTATGAACAAAGTGCAATCTACGAGTGCCAGCTCCACTACTCAACGGGGACTGCTTAACCTCCATTTGAACAGACTGGAGCAGGAGTGGGCAAGCCACAGCACCTATTAAAGAGGAGTTTCCTGTGGCCGAGTTAGCTTGCCGTTTGCTGGCTTTTTGGATTGCTTTTCGGATCTCGTGTGTGTGTGTGTGTGTGTGTGTGTGTGTGTGTGTGTGTGTGTGTGTGTGTGTGTGTGTGGGGGTTACCTGTTCGGCACAAAGGAAGTGTGTAAAGGGCAGGCAAACGGTTGGAATAAAAGGCAGTAGTCAGCCAAGTTGCAGCTAGACACCGACACTTCCCATTCCATAGAAGCAAAAGTAGAAACAGACCTTCAAACCAGGCACAACGCTTGGCTTCAGCTGTGCTCTGGCTGGCCTGCACAGATGAGCCTCTGCCACAAAAGGCCTTACGTGTTGCACAAACATAAATTGTGCAACAACGTGTAAACTACTTTTTGACTGCATGAAATGCGCCATTCCCCGGCCCATGTCCTTGCCCGTGTCGGGTCTTTGCTCGGTATCCTTTGGTCCCTATTCCAGTATCTCCTCCTCGTTGTTCATTCCCCCGGCAAGTGTTCATCCTAAGCTACGTGTTATGCCTTTTATAACCATGGAAGAACGTCTGCTGTTTGTTTTTGTTGCCCTGCCTCATGGCTGTAGCTCTTCTTTTGTTTTTTGTGCTTTTCATGTTGCACTCTTAAAGTCATTTCAAGCTGCTCTCCCAGAGCCAGTGACAGAGAGAGCGAGCAACCAACAATAACGAATTGTTGTGCAAGTATTCAGCTTCATAATGCGGCAATGAGTGTATGAAAGCATTTTGATGTTCCGGCTTTTGAGTGGCACTCGACGATGCCTGTTTGTCGGCATCCCAAGTCGTCACTAATCACGTTAAGCGGTTAATTACTTTGCCTGGCTTATTTCGCACACACACAAGGCACACGGCACTCAGCGTATACTCAATATTTTATGCTGTAACCCCATTGCTGGGCAATAAATCTTGCGGTGGGCGTAGGCAGTGCATTGCCTGCCCCAAGGCGTGGCTTTTGTCTGGCGGTGGGCTTGACATTAGCATTGCATTTGCATAAAATAACATGAATATTTTCGCCATGCCACCAGTCACCAGTCAGGCGCACAGCACATTGCGAGGCGACACCGATCCACCCGGCCACCCACATTCGAGAGGCGCATAAGGCATAAACTTAATAAACAGCGCAGTTTATTCTACGCCTGGACGGCCGAGCAGCCCACACTCTCACCCATGAATAAACACACTCACACACACACACACAGCCACACAAACACATGCAAGGGAATTTATGCACATTGGCATTGGCATGCACATAAATGCAGCCCTGCCTGCCTGCTGCCTGCCCTGCCTGTTACTGCCACTGCCGCCGCCCCTTCGCCACTTTTGTTTCTGCTGCTCGTCCTTGTAATTGTTGCTGTTGCCTGTACAGCAGAAGGGTTTATTTACTTTTGGCAGGTGTTTGCAAGGAAGCAAATGAACTTATTCCAACTGGAAGGGATAACAATGTGCTGCCATGGCTATGTCATTGCACAACATTTTTGTAAACTTTAGATCTGTCAGGGTATATAGAGCTTCGATATATTCTCTTCCCACTTTTGTACTGTTTTTATTGCATATGCACTTTACGGGTATCCATTTTTGCCCAGAGTTTACGCCAGACTGCTGCATGCTGCATTAAAATATTCAACTCTTTTTCACATGCTTTTATGGCACAAAGGTTTCCACAGTTTCCCAGTTAAGGGCGAGTGTGAAATCACGCCCACATAAACCCATAACCGTCTACAGCCGTCTACAGGTGTTTGTCTGGCTAAAAAAAAAGAGAATGGCTTTTCCAGCAGGTTAACGATTTAATCTAATTTATTGCACAGCTCCGCACAAATCCTTCCGATGTGTAGTGCACATCTTCTGCGATGTTCTGGTTCTCTGGCTCTCTGGCTTCTGGCTCGTAAGCCCTCTGCAAATTTTGCATATAATTTATTTCATATTGCCATTTGGTTTTCAGCGAAATTAGTTCTTCAGTTCCTCCCCACAGCCACTGCCTCGTACGATACCATACGTGTGCATGAGTGTGGCCCTCTGAGTTGTGAGGAAATTATTTATAAAACATTTTCGCATTTGGCTCGAGCACTCGGAGCTGCTGCCTCGTTTTCTGCTTACGGCAAATGCAATTAGCGTCTGCTGATTACCCGCCCAGGAAATGGCACGGGTGTAAATTATGGTTCTTACTTTATGGCAAATTAACCAAGTGGGTTTATTCCGCACACCCTCATACACACACACATACACATGGCAAGCTGGAACTTTTTGCGGCCATAAACTGGGAGTTCTATGGCGGAGGCGTTCGAGAAATTCCCAACTTTTTAGCTTATGCAAATGCAAAGGCAAAGGCAAAGCTGAAGCAGGCAGTCCTTAAATGGCAAATTCATTTACCAATTACCAGCAGAGGCCTTGACACTTCGAGTGTCCATCATCTGTCAGGGAATAGTGGACCAACCGAACGACCAGTCGCCAGAATAGTCCCACAGGGCCAAGGCTGCTTTCAATTTGGGCCATGAACTTAGTATATTTTTGTGAAGCTCACCACGCACCATACCCCAAAAAGTGAGAGACGTGGCTCGTGCCACGTGCCACTTGGCAGCGTGTGTGTAATATCAGGCGCTACCTGGCAACTTCAAAGAAGCAGCCAGCAGCCAGCAGCCAGCAGCCAGCAGACACTTCGTGGAAACTCGCAGCGACTTGTGGCTTTCATTAAACTGACACCACGCCCACTTGCCTTCAGCCCGACACCTTCATCGACCCCCCTCTGCCATACACACTTGCAGCCAAAAGTTGTTATATTGGAAAAGTTTGTGTGCTTGATTTTTAATATCACAGGTGATCATAAATAATTTATTGCGTTCATTTACGTTTCACATCCAATCGCGCCACGTGAAGATTTCGAATACCGTAACGGAAAGGGGAGCCGTGCCACAGAATTTATTTATGTGCTGCACAACAAAAAGCAAAGGAAGACTAGGAAGTCAGACAGCCACAACCACAACCACAAGCAGCTCAAAGCCAGCAGACCCAACAATGTGCCAACAGCCCGTTGGCCTTAGCGGTGCAAAATCCTTTCAGACCATAGATAAGAAAACTTTAATAAACACGCCACACACGCAACCTGCGAAATTGATAAGAATATGAAAAGTTTGCGCTGGGCACTGCCACTGAGCAGCTTGTCTGGCAGAGGGAAACTTTTCACATTCCTTTCTAGTCCTTCCAGGAACTCTGCGTCGAATGGGGGAAAGGAGCTGCTAAGCTTTGCTCGTGGCTGAAAGTTGCAAGCTTTTTAATTTGTGTAGCTCATAAATATGGTTCGGATCGCGTTCTCTGGTTGGGGTAATGCCGTTAGGGGTCAGGTTACGTGATTAATGGGCTCCGTCCCGGCCCCCCGTTCGACACTCACCTGTGCTTCTTCAGCTCCATCTGCTGCTGCTTCTTGAGCTCGAGTTTCTTCTTGTTGATGTCATAGTTGCGCTGATGTATCTCATGGAACTCGCCCACGTCATGGTAGTTGGCCAGCGAGCCAAACGGATTGTTGTATATGCTGCCAACGGCACCTCCACCCCCAGCACCATGGTGGTGCCCCTCGTGATGGTGTGCGGCAAAGTGCGGAAATTCATCTGCAGAGACAGACAAAAAAAGAGTGCACAAGGAGCAGGTCAGCAGTGAGTGATCAAACAACCTAATTAACGTAAATGCTGCAGCAGTTTTTGGTATCTGACGACTCTTTCTGTGTCCCTCCGCCACTCTCCTCAATTTGGAACTCAAATAACGACACACACAGAAAGGTAGCAAAAAAGGTGATTACCATTGCTGGACCCTCTCCCTCTCCCCTCTCCCTCTTCCTCTGTACTCACCCGCACGTGCGCCGGCCGGCCAACGGAGGCTCTTGTCATAGCGGTCCATGAATTGACCCACTGGGATGTGGTACTGCTGATGGTACTGGTTGTAGTACTGATTCTGATAGTACTGCTGCTGCAGCTGCTGCTGACTCAGCTGCGTCTGCTGCTGCTGCTGCGTGCGTCGCTGGTGCTTGCCGTTGAACGAGAACACATGATGAGTGCGCACGTACTTCTCCTCCACCTGCCGAAACAACACACACACACACAAAAACACAAGGGGTTTAAAATTTAGTTGGGTTGGGGCATCGGTTCATTGTAATTGCTACAATACGCTTTTGCACAAAAGTCACTTCAATGTCAAACTGCTGGGACCTGCCACCACTCCATCCAGCGTGCAGCTTCAATTAAATATGGATCATGGCACAGCGGGTCAGTTCCACATCTGCTCTCCAGGACACACCCACACACTGCTGCACATTTTTGGGGTCCATGAAGGGTCCATGGGGTGAGTGTTCAGTGTTCAGTGTTCAGTGTTGGTTGGTGGCCCAGGGGCGCGTTTATGAATAAATTTCATTTTAGAGTTTTCCCCATATTCCATCCGCCACTGGCAGACATAATAAATTTATTTAAATTTCATTTCCTTTTCTCGCTCGCTGGTTGTGTATTCCTTTTGTGTTTTTTGTTTTTGTTTTACTGCCAGCACAGCAGCATCTGGCTTTGGCCTTTTTGTAATTAAAATGAAAGCTGCCCTGACTGCTCGTGTAGGCCATAATTATAAAACGGCTTAAACTGATGTTAATCTGCATGCATACGACTCCCATGGATATGGACACTGCAACTGCAACTGACACTGCCACTGCCGCATCCCCTGACAGTAATTTTGAGTGCATTATCCCGCTGATTAACCAAATGGCCACCACCCCCCGGAACATGTGATACCCGCTAATAATCGCATTGCAAATTGACTTTGATTACGGGAAACAAGCGAGCAACAGTTACGCAATCCAATTGCGGTGGATCCTCCAAGCGAGACGAGGACGAGGACAAGATGGTTTCAAATATCATACGCATACGCACCTTTTTCCCATTGATTAGCCACGTGATGTGCGGGGCAGGACGACCGCGAGTTGTGTTGCACAGTGCGAAAAGTTTCTCGCCCACCGCAAAGGGCGTTCGCTTGCGAAACTTAATTGTGGGCGGACCCGTCTGGGGCACTGCATGATAGATGTGTGGATAAATAGACAGATAGACGGAAATGGAGATGGATGGGAAAGGAGACAATAATTAGAGTGGACCTCATGATACGGTGGCGATAATTGTTACGCACAGAACACACTCATCAGCTCATCGGCGCTGGCCTTGGTGAAGATTGGTGTATCCGTGGAGACCTCGCAGTAAAACTGCCCAGAAAGATCAAACTGCACGTCCTTGAGGGTCACCTGCTGCTCGTTCGAGTTGTCCCACTGTAAGAGAGACACCGAGAAAGTGATTTAAAGACACAAAGAGTTCGTTGGCAAATCAATTGATTGTGCTCTTAGATATATGGCAAGTGTCTACCAATTAGCTGCGATTTACTAGACCATTCTTCAATGCTTAATTTGAGGACAATTACCCCGTCTGCAGAGTGCCGACTGACAGCGATAATGATGATTGAGTAAATAAGTGTGCACGGCCCGGAGAGCACTTTGCCCGGAGACGCCCAGCCATGTACTTACGTCAATTTCGGCCCCCTCGATGGTGGAGTTGCGGAATGGCGGATTCCGTCCATTTATGAACTCGAAGAACTTGCCCTTGTCAACCTTCAGCCATGTCACCTGCAAAAGCAAAACAAATTTTGGTTTATATTAAAATATACAACCCCGAAAAGCGGTTACGTATGGAAAGAAACCCCAATCTCGACTCAGAATCAATTCAATCCATGGCTGTGTCTGACAGTGATGGAATGTGTCAAGTTTGAACGCCCCACAACATTGCGGGGATCAGTTAATGTTGCGAAAGTAAATTATTAAACCGTTTAAATTGCACAACTCGAATGCCAGTAAGCTGAGCTCCCCCTTCATCTCCACGTCCACGTCCACGTCCACGTCCACCTCCATCTCCGTGTCCCCTGGCGATTCAATTTAACTTTGCAACAAGTTGCAACAAACAGAACGATGCTGTGCGAATTGTTTGCGCGTTAAACTGTAAAACTGTAAATAATAAAATGTTTTTATTGGAATGGCAATGGCAATGGCACTGGCACTGGCACAATGCCGGAATGAAGGGGGGGACTTTGCGCATGTCACCCCTGCAATTAAAAGCAAAATCTACTCGCACAAATGCCACTTGCAGCGCAAAAGGATGGCACACAAAAAGTTGCATCATGGAGAGAGATGAAGGAGGAGGATGGCGAGAGGGAGGAGAGGCTTAAAGCAACCAACGTCACAACGGCAAATATGAATAATGAAAATGGAAATTAATTTTCATGCGCAAGTTTTCCACATTCAACTTACAACTAACTGAGGGACAGAATGGGAGACATTCCGGACTACGGCCCGGATGGCAATGGAAATGGTAATCGTGATGGTGATGGTGGCCGGATGTGCGGCGTCGGCGGCTCTTGTTGCCAGTTTTTAATTACACCGAGCTTTTATTTATTATGCATATTTTTTAACGCCAGCCCCAACGTATAATCGTATTTGTGCATCGTTCTTGTGTCGCTGGATTAAAGCTGAAAAGTAATTTATTTCTCTTATTGGACATGGTCTTATCCAGCTGGCCCCCTGGGGAGCAACGTCTCTGCACAGTGGTCCGTGTTTCCACTCACTCAGTTATTCCACGTGTGTCTCCCGGGCGGCTGCTGATTGGCCGATTGACACGCTACCAACAAATTGCATTGATTGCACGCAACTTAATAATATTAATGTGCTCATTGAATGTGTCCGCGGCAGGCGAGGCGTATGCGTAATGCCTACCGCAAGCCTGGCCATTACTCAGCCAACCCGTGGCCACTGATCACTGTTTTTGTGTGTGTGCTTAGCGTTTTTCGGGTCGTTTGTTGTGCGGGTCAATCGATAAAGCATACACACAGACCATTGCCATATAATGAGAGGGCAAACACAAACACAAACACAAACACAAACATTGCGGCCAGCGGGCAGCAAGGGTGAGCGACCGAGCGGCCATTACCGCACTCTAGGACCGCCAGACACGCATCAAATTTTATCAACCACTTGTGGTCGTTCCAAACATTTTCCCTCGATTTGACATGCAGCACCGCCGTATCGTCATAATATTGCCAATGGATCTCTCAGAGTAATGAAAAACAAAGGACTCTCCCCACTCCCACCTCCAAATATTTGCCAACCCAGGAGTCGCGCCACGGCGCAGGAGTCGCCAGAAGCCGACAGTCGGCAGCCTGCATGTGTTTGCTTTTGGCGTGTCTGCTGCTCGGAGACCCATTCAGTCAGTGCTCCAGTGCTCGACTTTATTTCTTTTGTTCTTGTTGATGTTTGTGCTTATTAGCCCGCATATACTCCTGCTCGTACTTGTGCGAGCCGCGCTTTGTTCCCAGTTCTCTTGTCACAAAAATGCTGAAAAGTGTCGTGGCTGGCAAGCGGCAGTCAAATCAAAAGCACATTAATGTGCACTGGCCCCGATTTTAGCGACGATTCCCACCGGTTAATGGCGTAATTAGTTTATTTAATTTGTGTGCATAAATATTTTGTTTTTGTTGCTGTACAATGTACGAATAATACCCAAAAATGTATGCTCTACATGTGTAGAGCGGCTGAGTGTTCGCATTTGCGTTTTAATTGCCTTTTTAGTGCCACTTCCACACAATTTGCCACGCTTTGGTCCACAATTCGAATGAGATCGGGTGGCGCTCACGAGCATATTGTTAATTATACTAATTAGCCATCGCATTGGCCACAACTCGACTGGCCACAACTGGCCGTATAAACGAATTTTTACATCTGCATGCGGAGGCGTCGCTCTGCTATTTGACTGTTTGGTTATTTGGTTAGCCCGCTAATTGTACATGTTTGCCTTGGTGCGTGGTCTGTGCTCCCTGATCCTGATCCGTGGCCAACCCCTCGGAACTCATTTTACATTTGTGCGGCTCAGCGGCGCATTAAACTTGTTCGCTGACACTTTGGCGGCAAATCGCCAACGGAGCGTCGCACGAACACGAACGAAAATTTCCATGCAAATGAGACATACACAAAGCCAGCTTAAAGTTGCCCCGGATCCCGATTCGTAAAGGGACAAAGGGACACGAAGCAACAGAAGCACATTCAGCAGAATGGAACAGCTCTCTCTCCCCCCCTCTCATTTCTATAATCAACTTTAGCGCACTAAATCCATCTTAGTTTCACGGGGGAAACAGCAAAAAAAAAATCAATATTTGAGTAATGTAATCCAGTGCTGGCTGCCGCTGCCCACGACATTTCTCCTTGATGTGCCATAAAAATTTGTACGCTTTTTTATGGTACTTAGAGGGAACAAAACGTCAACGTCAACCGCTAACGTTAACCTGGAAGCAGAGGAGGCTTCTCTCTGGCCGTACTCTGGCGCTGGCCTTGAGTCGGAATGCCCGCTGGAGCTGGGCTGTGTGTGAATTGTAGTTCCAAAGTGCGCCCCTGCCACAAAGTTCCGAACTAAATTGAAAGTATGCGGAATTGAGCGCATGGGCCAGTGGGCCACTGGGCCCTTATGCGGTCAAGTTGCTCTGGACTCGGTGACCGGGGCAGTATGTTTGCCATAAATTCCACGGCTGCCACGAAGCGGGACACGGATCAGGACCGGAGGCGGAGGCGGAGGCGGCGTCGAGGGCTTGGTCATGATTTCGCCTACGACAGTGCGTGTCTGCTGATGTTTCGTGATGGAATTAAGTAAACTGAAGTGAAATTAATTGCCACAACACACCGAGCAGGAGCCATGGGCCAGGAGCCGATATTGCGACGCGGAAGTGGTAAACGGTTTACGATGCGATCCCTTCGATGGCTCCGCGGAATGGCACTCTGAGTGCAAGTTTGTTTTGCTGCACAGCGTTCGCGATGCGGGATGCCTTTGACTGCCGCAAAGTTGCGGCACGAAACTTGCTGAAATTTGTCCGTGTTCTGTTCGGTTGTGTTTGTCACAGTGCCGGAAAGTTTAGCCCACAAAATAGCACAAGGCGAACAAAGTTTCCATGTGAGTGAGGGGGCTGCAGTTTTTATTTTTCAATTTAAAGTTTTTAATGCGCTTTCCATAATTTATATCCCACCCATCCATGCATGGCCGCATCCAGGTCACGCCACGCTAATGGGCTAAGCCCATTCTAATCCATTGCCACTTACCTTGAAGAGTATTTCCGGTTGGACATTGTGCCGGCACTTGAAGGTGGCGCTCGAGCCGCGCTCCACATACCGGGGCACCACCAGCTGCACCTCCACGTCCGATTGTCCATCTGTGGGCAGAGGGTAAACAAGCAGAAAGACTCGGTTATACGTATGTACATATGTGCGCAAGAAAAGGCAATTACAATGAAAATCATGAACATCGATGCTCGCCCAATTGTGGCTTAATTGAAAACCCATTAAAAGGGCTTGGCCACACAAAAAGGAAATCGAAGAATACATATACCCAGAATATGCTGGCAATTGAAAGTGCCACTGCCGGACCCGTACCCTCAAATATTTCGACTATTCTTCTGTGCAAATAAAAGAGGAGACACAGCTCTCCCGCTCAGAGCTGCCAGCTTACTGGACATGGTCCTCCCAGGATTGTGACCCCGCCCTGGCTCAATAAATCTTAATTTGTTTGCCAAAGTGCACATGAGAAATTTTTACGCCTGCATGCCAGGGGGGGAGTCCAGGCTATCCAGCGGCTGGCTGGCTGCTCAGGTGTCAAATATTTGTGCCCCGCTTTGCACTCGGTCTCTTGCACTCGCCTTCCGGTGATGCCATGTGGGGCAAGGTGGCATTTAAACGACATTTTTTCCGGCTGCCTTATTGCTCCACTGCTTCCAGTGGCCGGCACGTACGACGACAGGTGACGGCACTGAATTGAGCTTTAAAATTGAAAAATTTATATTTGTTCGCACTCCACACTCCACGCTCTACGCTCGTGGCAGACCACTCCGCCGGACACCCGCTGCGTATGTGTAATGTCTGCATTGGATATTTTGCAGGCACTTGTTGACATTTAGTATGTGCTCAAACCATATAACGTGTACGTTAAATGCTGTAGCTTGACACTGATTTTATGAGCTCTTTTGCATAGCTATAATCTGTGTGAACTCTTCGCAAATTTTCCATTTTCCTGGTACATAATTTCCCAATGGACTCTTTGGCAAGACTTTTGGAAAATTGCTAGATGGAAATCGATAATTTAATATGCCATGTGGCAACAGCCGCCAGGGAGCTTCCGCCTTTTGCAATCATAATTAAGACACAAAGTGGCAAAGGACTAGCGAACACATTGCCATGGTAGGGCTGGAGGAGGCCCTGCCCACCCAATTTCGGTTCCATTTTCATTTTCATTTATTCACACCACGCGTCCATCGTCAGTCACGCAAAATGTCAACGATTGAGTAAGTAAAAAACGTGTCTGACAGCGCGAAAAATATGGAAATAATCGGATAACGTGAGACCAAAAAAACAATGAAACCCAATGAAATGAAGCTTGTCAAGTGCGAGTGCGAGTGCCAGTACGAGTGTGAGCGCGGTGTGAGTGTAGATTGCAGGGCATAGGGCATTGTTGGACTGGTAACAGCTGGCAACTTGTTGCCACTTGCCATATATGGCATAAACATGGCCAAAATGCCATCACCGGTCTGCCACCGTTGCCCCCAGCATGACGTACGTGTTCGTGCCGCACGCTAACGAGCCGAAATTTACGAAAATTCAATCATTGCCCGGCCAGACCTAGACCCAGACCAAGACCCCGAGCCAGACCCAGACCAAGACTCTACGGTAGACAAAACCGCAACCGTCAGCCGCAGGCAAGAGGCACGGGCATCTGGCCACAGGCAAAAGCAGCAGACAAGAAGAACCACGGGAAGGAGGAAGCAAACAGACACCAGAGGCTGCTGGGCCACAGAGCTACGACCCCACTGGCTTCTGGCTTCTGCCCTGCAGAATCAGCCAGATCGACAGCCCCCAGGCTTTATAATCATGTCGATTTTTTTGACATTAATGTCGCAATACTTTACGTCATTTTTTACCCGACTGCCAGATGGGAGATGGCACATTGCAGAAGGAAGACTTCGTCTGGCGGCTATTCGGTTGGCGGTTCTCAGTTGGCAGCTGGCAGCTGGCCAATATGTATCCAAGGAAAGACAATGAAAAACAGAGCAAAATAACGAATTTGAACTGCACGACGAGCCGCTGACAAGGAGCTCAGCAACCGCAATTATGCTCCGCTGACTGCCTGCCAGACGGGCGCACAAAAAAAATTCATTACATGTCCCGGCAAAAGGGGAGGAGGAGGCGACTTCTTTGGGTTGTGCAACAAGCCACGAGCCGCGTTGGCAGGAGGCTTTACTCTCCTCCGTTTGCCATCTCACTGCCTGACTGAGTGACTCAATGGATGGTTGAATGGGTGGATGGTTGGATGGGTGGATGGATGAATGGATGGATAGATGGAAAAAACGAGGTTGCTTTGACAGCAGCTACGTTTTGTTGTACGTGTTGTATTTTTTTACAAGCGGAAATTGATGATTTTCCACGCGCTGAGCGACAATAAAGCGTGCATCATGTCAGAAAAACGCAAATAATCAATCAATCAACATTAATCAACGCTCCAGCCCCGAGACAAGCCGCACTGGGCAACTGTTGCAGAAACTTTGTTGCTTCGCGGGATGCTCCATTCTGACTTTAACAACTAGATTAGGCCTCCAAGTCAATTGAAATTTATTGCCAAATGAAACAACAAATCCAATTCGAAGTCATATCAATTTTAAGTGCTTCGGAGAGATTCATCAGCAAGAACTTTCCAACGTTTCCATAGTCAATTTATGCCCAGAGGGCAGCAGACATTACACAGATACGAATCATAATACTCAGTTTACGATTACGATATTCTCTCCGTTTCAATTTTGACCCCCGGGGCAACCTGGCAACATGGCAGACCGGCACTCTGAAGTTTGAGCATTTATCCAGCCCATTCGAATGAATTGTTTCGAGTTGAGTGGTAAATGCCATGATTAATGAGCGCACTATTAAAGTCAATTATTGTTTGCCAGAGGATAGTTTAAGAACTATTGAGCTGGTCAGGTGATTGATTGCCCTCGAACCGCAGGAGCGACAGGCCGCAATAATTAAAGAGTTGCCCCACTGACACCTTGCCGATGCCACACCGCTAATTGCAGCAAACACAAACAGCCCCAGGACACTTAAACGACTCGAACATATGTAAAGATAATTGTCCGGGCATTTGTATGAACATTTTCAACTGATTTCCCAATCAATATTTGCACTTTGGCAGCTTCTCCATCGATGATTCAAGCTCGATGAACGATGAACTTCAGCCAGGATATGTCGGTCGATGCCCGACGCCTGTTGCAATGACGGGGCAAAACGCAATTATATCAACTCGAGCCACAACTGACCACAGTCTCCTGTCTGTCTGTCCGACTGCCACCTCGTCCAGCTGTCAGTCAGGCTGTTAGAAGCCCCACGGCGCTTTGAGCAGACTCAAACCATTATGGTTGATTGGCAGACAGGGTAGGGTGTAGCGCAGAACAGAACGGAGCGGAACAATACAAAATACGACTTAGGAGAGCGCATTCCATGGTGTTCATTAGACACGTGCAACTGCCAAACCGGCCTTCCGTCCTGTCCGTCCCGACCCAACAAATACTTTTCAAAACTGATTTCCTGCCCTCATTACCGTCGTTTGTGTGCTGCTCGCTCCAGTAAGTTGGCCGAGCTGTGCGTCCGAGCGTGACAGCCAATAATTTTTGAACGTCCAGTGTCTTAGCCTGACAGGACACGGACACCAACCATTTTCTAATTGATTTGCGGCCATGTGGCTTTCCTATGCAAATGTATGCTTGATTGGGAGCCCAGGAAATGATCCGGCAAGTCATGGCTGACAGAACCATTCGGGCGGCAAAAGTCCGCAAATGTTTCAAAGTTGACCGCACAGAAGACAACATTTTTCTAGCCCCTCAAACATGAACAGAGCTACTATACATACATTTGTACATATGTATACAAAGAGAGGAGTAGGAGTATATTTCAGGCTGGCACGCACACTATCAGGAACATAAGCCAAACAATAAAATGGCAGACACCCAACATTTACCCGACATTTACCCACACTTGGCCAACAAAAAGGATAAAGCCATAAGTCGTTATGCTGCAGAGGCGTTCGCTCAGAAAATGTAAGCACTGGCTTTGGAGGCCCACAGTAGAGGCTGTCCCTGCTGGGGCCGAAAACAAAAGAACCCCAACAAGGTCCGCCAGCATGTTGGAGGCATAAAGTAATTTTATAGAACAAATCACAGGCATTAGCGGATATAAATCCAGTTTATCCCTGCCAGTGTATGCGCGCGTGAAATTCAAATATCTGAAGCGGGGAAGAGGAAAAGAGAAGGAGCGGACCCTGCCCAACACAATGGGGCGGCGGGGTGGTGGACACGCAACATTGGAGGGACGCAAGAAAAATGCCTGGACGTGGCCCTGCAGCAGCAGCAGCGTATCCTTGAGCATGTTTAGAGCTTGTAATTTCAGATTGGAAATGGAAAAATATTCATACACCATGAACGAACGAACGAACGAACGAGTATATGGAAAAACTTTATCCCCAGTAGATCCCCTGGGAATAGAAGAGAGTTTTAAATTGTGAAACTACCAGTGAATACAAATTACTTTTTACTCTGGCCAAAAGGTAATCTAAGCTGCAGAAGAAATGTTGTTAAAGCTGCGTTGGCTTTAAGCGTACGATTCCAAATTGAATTGCCGTACACAAGAGGCAATCTTTTATTTGATTCTGTAATTTTCACTCGCACATTTTAGTCACATTTTTGAAATTAAATCAAAGCCGAATGCTGCATGAATGAAATCAAAATCAAAAGAAAATGAAAATGAAAATAGCCAACGCGAATGTCTCCCACAGCCATACACACACCATCCTGTGCCCTCGCCAACACACACAAACAGAGGCATTCAGGCACCATGACCGACAAAAAGTAGCCAATGTAATGCCCAAAACAAAATATGAAAGAAAATTGCGCACCGGCCAGGGCCACTGCCAGAGACAGAGTAAGAGCCAGAGCCAGAGCCAGCAGCAGAGCCAAAAGCAGAACCAGAGCGCCACAGGAAGCCAACTTCCTGGTTGAAAATTTTATCTCGTCGGTCCTGCCAGCCAGCGACTACGACGAAATGGGAAGAACAAGGAGAAGGAGATGGCGAGGGGAAGGGAATCCGTTTGTGTGTGTACGACTACGAGTGCGAGCATAAG